TTCTTTTGGTTTATATTTAGGTTTTGTAGTTAATCCCTCCTTTTTTTACTTCTTTTTAGTTTTTTCTTTTGTATATTCTGTTATTTTTTAGGCAAGGATTATAGAATTCTCTTGCTCAATAATTAAAAGAGAGAAAAAAATGAATTGAAGATGAAGTAGAAAAACAATGTTGGAGCTTGTTATAAAAGGAGGAAGATCATCTTATTATGGACTTTAGTAGTCTGACAAGCAATTTACTTCTGTTTGAAGTAATGCAGCAGGTTGCACTTAGCACTATTAGAGTAGTCAGGTAATGCTAGACTTGTTTATTAAGTAAATCTATGTAATTGTAGTAATTGCAAGAATCTTAATAAAGTACTAGCATGACTACCTAAGTTTAAAAAAAAAAAAAAAAAAAAAAAAAAAAAAACAAACTATTTTATTTTTTTATAAAAATTTATAATAAAGATAAAAAAAATATTAAAAAGTAAAAAAAACTCAAAGTATTTAAAAATCTTTTGGTTACAAAAAATTATTTATTTTTATATTCTAAAAAATGAATTTTAAAATTTAATGAATATAAAATGACATAAGTTATAATTAATAGTGAAATATATACAAATTGCAAAGAATTATATATATTAGAATAATTATATTTATTTAAATTTTATTTTAGTATTAAAAATTAATAGGTAAGATGTTTATTTTAAATATTAAGTATAAGTTTAAAATATGATTTCATTTTTTAGAGATGAAAAGAATTAGTAATAATTTTTAAAAAAGTAATATAAAAGTTTTTATATATTTAAATAATATTTATTGTAAATAGTACTTTAATTCATATTTATTGTTATTGTTATATATAGAAATTTTTTTAATTTCACTATTTTTTTTGTTAATTGTATTTTTTTATTATTATTATTAAGACCAATAGTAATAATAACTAAGACTTTATTGTAGTTATAATTATTCATTATATATAACTAAATCAGATATATATGCATATTTAATATAACATTCTAATCACTTGAAGGTTTTTTGGTTTATATAAAAAATGTTCGGTTCAAACTTCATTTTACAAATAAATAATATTTTTATTTTAGTTAAAAGTATCTTATTTCTAATAAATAATTATAGTTTAAAAATATTTGTAATAAACAAATGATTGTAAAATAGAACTTTACTTAGTTAGCAGGTTTCTTTTTATAAATTAATTTTGATTTCTTTTTGTTAGTTTTATTTTACTTATCATTTTCATTTCTTCTATACTCAATTTTAAAATCCTTTTTTCTTTTTTTTTCTTTCTTATAAGAAATGTCTTCAAATTAATGATGTTCTATTGTAAGATGAGATCATACAAGTTGTAGTCCTAGTCCTGATTGGACTAATGAGACAAATCACATTTAGAGTAATCAGATAACATATTTATATATAAAATAATATTCAGTAATTGCATAAGTAACTACAAATGGTTTAATAAAATACTGTCATGACTGCTTAAGAAAAAAAAAGAAAGATAAGCTAAGGAATGGTAGGTATTAGTTAATATAATAGAAAAAAAGTTAATACCGAGAAAGAATTAGAAAAGCGTGCGTGAAAGTAAAACTTATAGACACTTGTCTTCTGTGGGCCTAGACATGACGAAGCCATCATAGATTTGTTGAGTGCTTAATAGATCAAAAGTTCTATATCAAATTCAAAACCAAAAAGATGTATAGTAATCAATCATCGTTTAAGAAAGCGATTTGAAAAAATAACGATGAATCCATTTTCCTTAAAAACATTACATCCGAAAATTGAATATGCAGTGTATATATGTGGTTATATAATAAAATTCATTAATGAAGTTTTTCGATAGTGATCGATCGATAGGTAATAATTTTATAATAATTGTTGCAAAATTTAAATAGATTCATAGCCTAATGATTCGATGGTTTTGGATAAAATTTTGCAAAGACCATCAATGCATCTTCGAAACTAAATTAAGTTCTTTCTTGTCCTTTTGTTTTTTTTAAGGAAACAGAAAAACATAACATATTATTGAAATTTTTCGTTTTTAAATAAAATAAATGGCTCTATAGCTTTGTCTTTAAAGATGTAATAGTGGTCTTTGCAAAATTTTATCCAAAACTATCAAACAATTAGGACTATGCATCTATTTAAAATGTGCAATAATTATTATAAAAGTATTACCTATCGATCGTTATCGAAAAAATCTTCATTGATGAATTTTATTATACAATCACATATCGTTTCGATTTACATAGAATGTTCAAAACATTAAAATTTTTTCTGTATAAGTTCAATTGTAAGAGGAACATATCGTTGAGACGCACGAATTTTTGAATAAAACTAACTCTAGGGTTAACCAACTTTGTTTCAATCTATCAATATATATATATTTTTGGATAGATGATGGATAAGTGACTTAGCCAAGTTAGCTAACTGATTTTGTCTTCCGCAGCTTAATGAATGATGAGAATTATCAATTTGATTAAGATTTGATAGACAAAATAAATCGTTAAATAGGATTATACTTAAGAGTAAAACTTCCACAAGGAACATTTTAATTAGTTCGCAGAAAGAAGCTTTATGGCCTAAACTTTTAATTATAATCATTTTTTTTGAAAAAAATTAAGACAGAATGAAACTCGCTGATTTTTATCATGAATATGAATACGAAATGGGTGAAATTCGCGTTTTTTAGATTTACCTTTTTTGACGCAGATCTAGCCTAAATACTCTTTAGGTAGTGATGTTCATCAATAACGTAACCACCCTAGACGCGAGTTTGTCGCATAATTTTTTTACATTATCATCTAACCTAAGACACGTAAAATATGTTTTACGATTTTGATTGGGCAGTGATGACGAACGGATAATATTGATAATAGATTTTTAAAATTGTCCAATAAGACTTGACAATGGTCTGTGATTTGTTCATGGGTCTGACGCTGGGGTATGAATGATTATCAATTTTATCAATTACATCATGCATAAAAACTATCGTCATTCACTCTTGAAATTTATTTCCTTAAATACTCATGCTTTGTTGTTTTTTTTTATTTATCATCTCTTTTCGGCTTTCTTCAAATATAGTTTTTTCTATTACTTTCTTTCATTGCACGTTAATCATCATGTTAAAGTTAGAAGGTATTAATATTAAAGAAGCTCGCAACCTTCTAAATCATTATGGACTTCCTTCTGATGGTACCGATGAAGAAATACAGCGACAACTTGAAGTTTTAGAATTTCCAGCTGATGAAAATACTAATGAAATACGTTCTGATGAAGAGGACATTATTGAAAATAGATATGATCAAAGGGAAGATGAAAATAATTACGCTCATGATGGGGAAATTGATTCTGAATTAGAAGAGGGTGAAACTCGTGAACATGATACTGATACCGATAAGGATGCGTTCGTTTGTAGAACGAGTTGGAGTGATGATCCTTCTTCCTTTAAAAATGTAAATAACAACTCAACGGAAACTATCAAAGACGTTGAAACTACAAACGATATTACTTCCATGGAGGGTTCTGATGATTACGATCTTCCCAAAAGTCGAAAAGAATTTCCAAGTGAAGATGAAAGAACTGATAGTGCTTTGGATACTAGTTTACATGAATCAGAAGATGGTTCCGGTTCTGTAACTTCTTCACCACCAAGATTACAGACTGTAGTATCTCTTAAAGATGATGTTAATCACACGCAATCTCAAAATAATTCCATCGTTAACGTCGATGATGTATCTTCGTTGAACCTTTCTTCTTTAAACCATCGACAGGACGATTCTTCAAATCTTGAATTTAATGTGTCCAAAATTGTGAATCCTATTATTAATTGTATTGCTGATCTAAAATCCAATTTCCACGCTGAACTGGAAAAACTTCATTATCGTGTGGATCCAAAACTCTTTAGTTCTATGAATGGGTCATCCGATGATTGGCAGCCAGCAGAATTTGAAAAGGCTCAAGATCAAAACCGTTATGATGCTGTTATTACTGCCGGAAAATTATTGGATCTTATCCTGTCCTTATTTCTTCCAAATGAAGCTAATGAACATATCTCTCAAGCCCGTCATATTCTTTGGGAAAAAGCATTATTGTATCGTCTTACTTCTTCTACTGAGTCTTCGTCGTCTTCTGCACCTTCTCATTCTTTTGAACCAGTCACTGTAGCGGATCTCGCTATTGAATCTGTTAATAAAGCCATTGATAAAAATAATGTAGAACAATCTACCTCAGGACAATACATCTCAACACAAGAAGATACTCTTACGAATCAAGTCTTGTCAAATAATGTAAGAGGTGAAAATTTCCTTGATTCGACTAAAGCGGAAGGAACCGGTGGTCAATCACCTGTCGCAAACGGGACAAAACCACGCCGGTTGTCAAATCAGAATCGTAGATCTAACAGGGCGAGACGTAGATCAACTAGTGTACAGATTGAAAATGCATCTGGTAGTGGGACAAGACCTTTGCAAGAATCAACATCCTCCCGTGATATTGAACGACAAGAAGACATTCATTCACTTCGCCTTTCAACAAGTCCAAAGGCACCATTTAGAGCTCGTTCAAACAACGGCAGAAACGCTGTCAATATTCCAACAAATAACCGCCGCTTTATTGGATTTCTACCTTCTAGATGCTTTACATGCGGCGGTATTGGTCATTTTGCGAATAATTGTCCCAACAAAGGTAGTTATATCACTACTTTATCACCTCAACAACCAATGCGTCGACGACGTTCCACTCGATTCAAGCGAAATAATAAGATCGATACTAGTGGTGAATAATCAATGTGTTATAATTGTATTGATGCTTGGATAAAATTCGGTGGGAGAAGTTTAATGCTTTATAACATCGTAAACTTTAGTTGGTCGAATTTAATGCTTTAGTATTTTTTTTATATTTTTTTATTGCTTTTATTTTTTACATTCAAAATTTGTGTATGAGATTTACCATGCATTTAAAAAAAAAAATTTAATATTCTAATTTTTAGAATCAGATTTGATTCAATTCCTTTTTTTTCTTCTTTTAATTCGATTTAATTAATGTCAATTAACAAAAAAGCTAAATTTATCTGACAGCAAATTTTATCCAACACTTTGTTTAGAGCGAATTATGAATGTTTATATATATATATATTACACACAAATTTGTAAAGACTGCTAACATTCATGTGAAAATTTATAATTTGATTTGATATAACAAGAACTCGGTGCAGTTATTTCAATCAATTTCGCTATAGTATTATATTTACTTGAAAGTAATTTCAAAATTCTGTGTAGCAATTGAATTTTTTAATATACAGTATTATGTTATGTCAAGTAATTAATGATCATTATGTATTAATACTTTTCCGGTAATTAATGATACTTAGCTAATGATGATTAATACTTTTTCGGAAATCATATTAATTGATTTTCAACTTGTATATTAAAAAGTATTAAATATAATGTGTAATCCAGTCTACATCAAATTAATTTTTGATCATAAGTTGAAGTGTTAAAAATTCGAATTTAACTCTAATAATGCACTGAAATTTAAGGTAGATGATTTTAAAGTTTGCAAATATTAAAAAAAACTTGATAAAAACCACTGTTATTTATTTCTATTATCTATGGATAGAGATTGAAGCTGTAAGTTTTAATTAATCAATTTTTTTTGGCTTTTTTTAAATTGGGTTAGGGTTTAGGATTAGTTTTGATGATAAAAAAGTCTAAGTGGATTTTGATAGAGTTTTTCCTAATTCCATTTTTAACTGTTTCCCGCTTCAGCAACAACGAATTTACGAATTTCATAATTCATTTATCAAGATTATTACCGTTACCATTACGTAGATGGCTTTTTAAAAAGTGATAAAATGATTACGTATGTAATTAGGGGTACGAACTGTGCTACATATTCTTTAGCTCGTAAATTATACCATAACACTTATTTATAAGATAGCTGCGCAACGTAGTTGCGCGAAACCAGGAACGGGATTATAGCGTTTTTGTCATATAACAATTTATGACATTATAACCAGTACAATTTCAAACACTATAACAAGAGCCTGTTCTACCGAATAAATAAGTTTTCATTATAAGAATCTTTTTTATACGATCATTAAATTTGAATGTAAAATAACTTATATACTTACTAATTAAATGACTCTTTAAATTTAATGGCTTATTTAAAATATATACAGTCTATCCTTTCAAAGCCTATCAGATTCAAAAATTAAGGGAAGCATGGCAACAGGAGGAACGTCGATGTTACACAAGCCGGGAATGATCAGCATTGTGCATATTTAAGTAACTAATATAATTAAAATTATATACGTCAACGACCATTGCCATCATAATTAGGTATAAATTTAATAATAATTAGGTATAAATTTAATAATAATTAGGTATAAATGTAATCATAATTTGTAATAAAAATAATCGTCAAGCTTATTTTATTTAATATATACGCAATATAAATTTTATAAATATTATAATTTTATTGATTTAAAAATGTTAACTTTACATATTTTAATACATCTCCGGTTGCAATTAAATCATCCAATACTTCGTGTGCTTCATCAATATCATCATCATCCATATTATTGTTCTTCTCAAACAATTCACTTTCGACTAATTTATTAGTCATACTTGATATTAATGTGTCAACATTTTTTCAAATCTCGTCTTGAAGATAACCTAAATATATGAAACATTTAAAATAATATTTTTATAAGCAATCATTGTGATAATCATGCCCACACGTCAAAACAATGCCATTATACAACTCAAAAGTTTTGTCACAGTCTATCAAATCACACAAAACAGACATTAGGTTTTTTGGAAGTAACAAAACCTCTTAGGAGGTAATGATCTGTCACCTCATAATCTAACAAAAGTAGCACATATGTGTTTATACTATCAACTGAGGATTTAACAGTAGAATACTGGTGATGATTTCGATAAACTTTCTAAATAGTTCTAAAAGTCAGATAGAACACTTTTGAGACAGTATATCCAACTGTTTTGGCATATATAGATATTTTACAGAACGTTCAAAAGTTTGCTGAAAATTATTATCATATCATCATTGAAAAAGGTGTATGCTTCTTTTTGTAATTGTTGTCCTGTAAGAAACTTAGTAGTACATCTTCAAATAATACTGTATACAATTTCAACAGGAGAATTACTAAGAGAAGTTAAATGATTAGTAATAAGATTAATAATTGGATGACCTGTCTCTATCCAGTAAAAAACATCAGAAAAAAACATTAAGGGAGCATGCTTATAGTTCTTTCAGTCAAATCGAAGAAAAAGGTCACTCCATCAATACATGCATGCTTCCTCATAAGCTTGCCAATTTCCTTCTCGATAGTATATAGCATAAATATCGAAAAGTAAAGGAACTAAATTGCTTAGCAAATTGGTTAAATATAAAAACTCAACATTCTTGCATGTGTGACCAAACTTTGAATAAACTGTATTAGCAATATTAAACCATCCCATATGCATGATGTGGAGAATTAAATTGATTCTTCATGATCACGGTTTATTGCCAAGTTTTTTTCTTTCTCCAAATATACTCTTATAAATATTATTAAATAGAAATAAGTTTTTTAAATAAACAAGTTCACGAGCATTTAAGGATACATGAAGGGGCCCCATAATAGGCAAGAATGATAGAACAAACTGAGGAATGTTTTCATTATTGAGAAGAAACTATTATGCAATTGCCTTACAAATAAAATATTGTCCCAACCAATCAGTTACAACAGGAATCACATTGTTGGAAAGATATGCTTGTATTGCTTCTTAATTATATACAATTTGAAGAGCCTTCAAGTATCATCTATATCTTTCAACTTGTTTTCAGTAAAATTAACAAGAATGGAGTTATGAATATGCCGATTATCTTTTTTTTCTACAAGTCTATTGTTATAGTTATGTGATACTAGCCTATCTATTAGCTCTTTATCAGATGTACTTGCACTTCACATATGATCATAGTATAAAACACCAAGATTTACTATAAATCATTCATCAAGGTCTTTTATAAGCAAGCTACTATCTATAAATTTTGAATTAAATACCCTATTATATGGTATGGCTTGTATAGGGCATAGGTTCATTAAAATTATTATCATATATGTTGGCCGGGAAGTAACAGTAATGGTGAGTTGCTGTGGAGTGTGGATATTATGATAATCATCAATATTTAATACAAGTGCATTATTTGAATACTGAGAAAGTGCATTTTTTACATCTTTCTTATATGCATTAGAGATTTTTTTTTTCTGTTGATTTACTGCCTTATATGTCATGACCATACCAATATTTGCCATCGTGTTCAAGGCTTCATTACTTGTTCCTACCAAATCTAGATAATACGCAATGTCTAACTTAAAAGAATTAATTCTTGTATTATTTAAAGAAACAAGTAAATAACAAATTAACACCATCAATCTTTTCATATGGGCCATAATTTGAACATTACAATCAAATGGTTGAGCCACCAAATAAAGTTGATCAAAAAAATCTTTCAAACTTGAATTAATTTCTTGAAGCATCTCTTGCATTTCATCATAATCGTATATGGGTATTTCTTTTTTGATATGTTTTCTATCATAAAAAATTAATGCCATCACTTTTATGACCCTATTTAAATTCACATTTTCTTCTACTTCCTTAACTTTAGTTGTAAGCTTTGCTTGTTTAGTACTTTGTAATAGGTTTTCTACAAGTTTCATATAGCATTTATTACATAAAACAGTTTTTTTATTCCACATTACCTTTATTAAGTCGTTATGCTTGATCTCTTCCCATTTTTTCTCCCCTATTTGATGGAATTTAAGCGACTTGGTAGATCTGCATTCTTTGCATTGCTTAGTGTTAGACATATTTTCACTAGGCAAACCATATTATGAAAGTTGAGGAATTAAAAGGAATTAAAAAAATATGTTATAATACAGCATGAAAGCTTCAAGTTTGCTTAGTGAATTAATCACGTTTCATAGAATAGAAAAGTTACGCCGGCTTCCTAAAAAAGTATTGTAAAACCATATAAAAAAATCTTCTTAAAATTGTGTAACAATTTTGTGTAACATCGACGGTTCCTCCCGTTAAGCATGGCACGTGGCCAATGTGAAAGATTATTGGTCGATTTAAGCAGCTATCGGCTTAAAACACAACACTGGATTTGCACTTTCTGATTGGTTAGACAAATCCGATATCAGAAATTGTAGGTTATCGGATTTGGATAACGTGGATCGATTGTTTACCGAATATAGCGGGTTGTCGGTTTTAACAGGATCGGTTTTTACAGGGTGGATTGTATTAACAAAAATTCTTTATACTTAATTTGCTAGATCAACATACATAAAAATGGAATTAATAAATAAGTGCTGCAGAATGAAAACCTGGAAGTGAATGTTTAAGTTTTCATTGTGGCGAGCTTAAATCCTGAAACATTATGATGTTACATATTGGTATTGATGATTGGTGTTTGATTTCTTCTACATCCAGGAATCTAGAACATAGATTCCTGGTGGAGAAGGAAAAATCAAACATCAACCATCAATACCAATATGTAACATCGTAATGTTTCAGGATTCAGTGAAAACACTTCCGGATTTTCATTATGCGGTACTCAAATAATAAGTTTAATAATGCTTGAATTAATCGCCTCTAAATTAATACGAGCAAATGAAATTAAATAACAAATATTCATAAATTTAATAATCGTTTAATAATTCGATTTAACAAATATTATTTATACTCACGCACTTAATAAATGCAAATAAAATGGTAGTACATGTTCATGACTATTTTAGATGTTGAATAAATGCTTCTTATATTACGAAATTGACATGAATAAATGAAATTAATATGAAATTCAATAGCATACTTTAAATCTGAAATTAACAAAAGTTCTCAAACTCAATGCACTAGGTCGTAAAAATAAAATAGTGCTAAATAGTGAATATTCATATATGCTAGAAAAATTGAGTGAATGCGCAAATTGATAATTCAAAATAGATACATATAGAAATTGAATAAACCAAGTAAAAGCAAGATCTATGCTACAAGTATTTATACAATATGTACTGTATATAAATAAAACAAGTCACACATAATATACAAATATAGAAAAACAAAGTCACAAAGAAGTATTGCCCAATCAGATGCAAAGAGATACACCACTTTAACTTACCTGTAAACCATACTCTACTCAGTTTATGGTAGTTGAACTATACCGATACGTATTTGTATGATTGCTATTTCTATGTCAATATATAGAAAATAACTTAAATACGGCCGAATACATAGAGTAATCAAGAACTGTTTATAACGACACGATAAAACAAAACCAGAATAAATTTTATTTACGTATCACAGGTTCAAAAGCCACGATAATAATAGTAAGTTTTATTTTTTAAATTGATGACCGGAAAAAGAATTTAACAATGTAATAGTCTAGGATAATTCTTTGATTACGCAACGTCCAATTGCATTTTTTTATCACTTTGATATTAAATATAGAAATCCCAAAATAAAGTAAATCATCCAATCAGATGCAAAAAAGATACATAACTTTAACTTGCCTGTAAATAGGGATGGAGTGTGATTTAAATCACGTAAATACTAAATTATGTTGCATCGGAGATTCTGTGGATTTAAAAATCGCATTCAAAGTCAGTTTGAATATAAATAATATAAAGATCAATGTTTTAAATCATGATTTTTGCCATTCATACCTGTAAACCATACTCTACGTGCTTTGTACTTGTTCCTGGTATAATGGCAATAAAACTCTTTGAAAACCTTTCAATGATAAAGAAGATTTTGATACAGTTATTAATGTTGGCGAATCTTCAAACACAAAAATATTCCAGGCACATTCAGCAATTTCAAGATATAGATCTTTATACTTTCGTAATGAATTGGCAAATGTCAGTAAAGATAAGTATAATGTTAAAACGCTTAATTTAAAAAATGTTTCGGTCCAACAATTTGAAATTATTATCAAGTAAGTTATATTACGATGTGCATAACCTATATGATATTGTAAAAAATAATCTAAAACGTACATAAATTTTTTACACAAAGATATATATACGGAGGTGTAGTTTTACTTGAAAAACATGATGCGTCATTTTTTTTTGAGCTTATGCTTATTGCTTTTGAATTTCTTTTTGAAGAATTGGCTAAACATCTTGAAATCCATTTAATTGAAAAAGAAGCTCACTGGCTTCGTTTACATTTTGCAAATATTTATCCAAAAAGTTTTCAGAATAATAAACTTCAAGAATTACAAGAATGGTGTAATGATATTTTGGCAAAGTATCCTAGTAAAATTTTTGAATCTGACGACTTTTCATCACTTCAAGAAAATGCATTAATTTCACTTATTGGTCGAGATGATTTACAAATGGAAGAAGTAAAAATTTGGGATCGTGTTATCGAATGGGGAGTAGCTCGAAATCCTAGTTTACCGCCTGGCCCAAAAGATTGGTCTTTTGAGAATTTCCTGGCTTTGAAAACCACTTTAAAAAAGTGCTTGCATCTTATTCGTTATTTTCAGATGTCTAATGAAGATATTATTAACAATGTACATCCATATCAACAAATTCTTGATAAACAGCTTTGGAAAGATATAATGAAAAAGTTTATGGCGTCAAATCAGCCAATATCCTCAAAATTTCTTCCACCTCGCATAATTTTAACACAAACATTACCAACTAGAACTCCGTTTTCAACAGTTATTAGTGTTGCACATGCAGCTGAAATCGCTTCATGGGTTGATAAAAAAATTTAATCTTCATTCTGTAATGAATAATCCGTATGAATTCAAATTCTTATTCGTGGAACAAAAGATAGGTTTTCTGCTAATACAGTTTTGAATTTATGTAATAAGAAACAAAATATTGTTTTAGTAATAAAGGTTAAAGGAACTGACGAAATTCTGGGTGGATATAATCCTATTGGATGGAATAATGTCATGACTGGAGGTATTGTAATGAAAGTTTCGTTTTTTCATTGACAAATGGTATTATTCAAAATTCTATTTTAAGCTGTGTAAATAATCCAAGCCAAGCGATTCGCAGTTGGAGTTACGAGTTTGGTGGTTTTGGTGGGCTTGGTGGTTTTAGTGATTTTGGTCTCGGTTTTGGTTATGATTGTGTTCTTCACTTGTCGAATTATTCTAATGAATATAAGGGATCTTTTGTAAGAAAAAGTCCTATGAAGAATGCATTAGAAATGCAATTACAATGGTAGATCATTTTTTCCAGTTGAGGAATATGAAATATTTCGAATTAGTAAAAAATCCTAAAAGTTTTTTATGCTGGTTAATTCAGAGAATAAATATTTCTTCAAAGTTGCAAATAATCTCTCTACAAATTTAATATACAACTTCATTAACTTCCTTTCTATTGTTACCTCTTCTCAATATCTTGATCATTAATAATTAGCAAAATTTGTAAACCTTATCCTAAATAGTATTATTCATTCAGCAATGATATTTTTATGCTTTGCGAAAATTAGAATCATTAATGTGCAGATATAATCTATTTAATTGACAGATTTTAATTATTAACAGAGCAAACAAATATTGTCACCTATTATATACATTTCTTGAAAACAGAAACTATTATAAATCGAATCAAAAATTAAATTATTTTAATAAAGCGCAAAAATGGTAAATAAATTTAAATCATGCTCTAATAAATAATTTCATTTTTTACGCGTAATTAATAAACACATATGCACGCTCTTAAATCTCATATGGATACACGACTTGTGACAACAAATTTATACACTACTTTATTCCTCCTATTCGCAATATTTACAGTAATCTTGGATTATTAAAAAAGATCAAAATAATTTATTCGCTAACTCATGTGTAGTGGACTGGACCGAGGACCGAATTGTTTCGGTCCTCGGTCCCTAATGGTTCGGTCTTGGTTCAAATAATAAGCCCATGGTAGCTGATAAGAAAAATGAATTAGTAAAAATAACGATCTTTTCATTTTTTTCAACTATGAGCTATAATAAAGATTTTTTACCTTCATTTTCCAATGTTCACAAAATATTGAAACACACCTAACCAAATTATCCTACTTTTTTTATTTCGTCTACCTCATCTACTGCAATTTCACTATCCTTAATGTTTCTTTCGAACCTTATACATTATCAGCAAATACACCATCAAGTAATCTATGAAAGTATTTAATATTTCCATCAGAAGATAATTCGAATCCGTAGCGTGGTGGTAAGTGTAGAAAGATTAATTACTTTAGGTCTACACAGACCACCAGCGTGGCTTCAGAGCAAGCATTCTCCGTATCTGGTCCTACTATTTCAAAAAAAAAATAGATTAGACGATGAATCTTTAAGGGCAATGATGTGTCAAAAAAAGTTAGCTTCAACAAGAAATTTATACTTTGGATAATTAGAAAATTATTGTAATTGGTGTATTGCATAAAATTAGTGCACTTTGGGGAATAGTTATCAAGCAGAATCGTTCATTAAGTGGCGAAAAAAGAAGCCTAAGCCCAAACAAGAGAAGGATAAAACTTTTAACGAAAGCGAAACCTTTGGCAAAAGATGAAACTTCCAGCGAAAGGAGAAACTCTCGATATAACCTAAGCTCTAAAACTCATTAAAAGACAAACTTTGAGAAAGGCTATAATTTGATTAGTCAATCTAGGGAATCCTTGATGTGCAGCTCAAAAGTAAATTTTGGCTAAGTGTTCTAGGAAGAAAGTAAATACACTTTTTTTTTTAACTGATTTTTAATTAACGGGGTCTTCCAAATTTGTAATATCAAGAATAACATTTTAATACTATTAGATCCTAATCATTAACAACTGGAATTTGCTAGTTTTACAACCGAAACTGTCCTTTTTCCTGGAGTTTTCCTAGCTTTTCAACCGGTGTTTCACCAGAGGTGCCCTTATTTCATATTTATCCTACAGCAGAGACAGTGCCTGATCCAAAGTGAATCCCTCTCGTCTGTGAACAATCACAAATTAAATTATCTATTTTGGATTCAATTGTGATGGATATAACCACTCACCAATTTTAATATGTGTAACATTAACGGTCTCTGCTATATTTATCCTTATGGAGGTCTATCTTCAATCGTCGGTTTTTTTGGCCTCGAACCGGTGATCTTGCAATTGGGACACGGGAGTGGTGTTTCGAGTTGATAAAAAATTTTTCATTAATCAATTTTTCCTATCATGTGACTAAATTTGTTAATTGCCCAATCAAAATAAAGAAATCAACACGAATAGATGGAATATCTCGTTGCTTCAAATTTTTCCAAATCGATTAGTTGGAAAGTTATCAACTAGTTTGTTTTTTAACTAACGATTTTGGATCACTACACGGAAGCGCACTACGTTATCTACTCACGGGTGAAAAGAAAGAATACACATTTTCAATATAAATTCCCATTAATAAATGTGATTAAAATTTTTTTGTAAGATATTAATATAGGAAAAAACTTATTTAAGCTTGAATTATCATGGTAACTTCATGTAGCTTCTAAAAGCAACGTTTGAATTAAAACTATATTTATTGCATACAATTATGGTTACTAAGAACTTATTACACAAACTACAATTAGCTTAGATAATTATAATATATTTCATGCAAATTTTTTTAATCAAATCATTCAATATTTTAGTTCAATAAAGCTTTATGATTTTTTTCAAATAATTTTATTGAAAAGTTAATTTACAGCTTTATGAAGATCTCAAAGTACAGTATATGCGAATTTACCAAAAATTTAATTAGACGAATTTTTCTACATTTAAAGGATAAACTAAATTCGTGAGTGATTCAAGTCAATCAAATCATTTTTCTAATCTATTAGTTATAACACTGGATATAGTAGTTGTTTTTCAATGGTGATGCCGAAAGTTCAAAATTGCGAATTCTTTTTCTTAAAAAATAATAATTAGATATATATTTTTTTTGAAATTAAACTTTTAAGTTTTTAAATTTTAAATTAAAAAAATATTTGAAATGGCCAGTCCACCCACACCATATATTTTGATGAAAGGAAATGAATCTAATGAATTACTATAAAATGAACCAAAATGTACTATAATAGTTTATAGGCTAATGTTGCGCTTCTTAAGTTCTTCTAATGCTTTAGGTTGGCCCTTCACAGCAGCCATCTTTAAATATCGTATTCCTTTTTCTTCGTCTTTTTTAATACCAAGTTTTCCATTCAAGAATAAATCACCATAGTTAAATAAGGCGGAAGGGTTGCCATTAATAACGGCTTTATTCAAGTATGCCAGGAACTCTTTGACCTTATTAGCTTCCAACATCGCAAATGCATAATGAAGTTGTGCATCTGGAACATTCTCATCAGCAGCTTCCTTAAAAAGTCTTACTGCTTCTACTGGATCTTTCACTCCTTTATGATAACCTTCTTTTAAATAATAACCTTTCCAATACTTAGCAACAGGATCACCAAGTTCAGCGTGAATTTCAAAGCATTCCCATGCCTTGTCTCTCTGTGACTTATTCCGGTGTGCCCTAAGGCCATCTTCTAATGGAGGAATAAGATGTGGAATTTCATTACTCACGTACAAATCATCATACTCATCATCGCTTGTTTCTTCAGACACAGGTTCCTCATTATTGTTGTTAAAATCCTCTATATCATTATTTAATTTATTTAGTTGGTAAAGTTCGGTATTAAAAACATTAATACTTGGTCGTTCAGATGCTTCTTGTGCCCAAGCTAGTATGATTGATAATTTTATAAGATGTTAGTCGTAAAAATAAACAACCAATTTTACACATGATCTAGAAAATTAGTACTTACCTGCTCGAATTATTTTTGAATATCCGTTGATAACATCTTTAGGGCCGACATACTTTCCGGTAAAATGAAGATGTTCTCTTTTACCAGACTTGACATGTTCACATATATCCATTGTTTCCATGCTTTTATATGGGATTTGTTGAAAAGCAAGTTCCCATAAAAGCATACCATAACTATTTTAAAGATAAAATTATAATTAAGTAATCTACATAATGACCACAAACATGCCAATTAAACAATAATTTATCATTTACCTAAATACTTCACATTTATATGTGTAAGGGTTTTCTTTTTTATTCGCATTATTCGTACCCGGATCAGAGCCCATTTTTTCAGGTGCTAACCAGGGAATTATCTCACTAATGCTTACAATTTTAATACTATTTTCATTTCTCTGTCTACTAAGATCAAAATTGGCGAGCTTCGCATTGTACCCTTTATTATCTGTAATCTATACATAATGATATACAGTTGGATATATCAGTTCATTAAAAAAATACATTTAATTAATTTAATTTATAGCATACCATTATATTTTCACAGCGTACATCATGATGATAAATATCACATCCCTGCAAAAAAACAAGACCACAGCAAATGTCATGAGCAATCTTAATCTTATCTTTCCATGAAATTTCTACTTTTTCATAAAGTTCCCTTAAATTCCCATGTTTGGCCCATTCAAATACGATAAGATATTCACCGTTATCATATTTTGCAAATCCATAAAATTTAATTATTTTATCCGATTGTTGTAATCTATTTAAAATTGCAAATCGATTTTTTGTCATTTTCCATTTTTCATCATCATTAGGAATGCTGATTCGTTTGCACGCAACCTCTGTTCCCCCATATAAGCGTTTGAATATTTTTCTGTTTTCTGTTAATGATGTCCGTTCATTATCCTCTCTTAATCTACTCATTTCAATCTGCGGTGCAACTAATGAAATCTCTCTTTTATACATTTTCTTTTTAATTTCAATAACCTCCTCAAAAATTACGTTAAGTGCTATCTTAATTTCATCATTTTGGTCTCTCACGGTTTCAAGTACTCCTGTATTTTCTTTAAGCTGATTTTTCGTATCTATGACACCTCCCTCGATTGTTTTAAGAAACTATCATCCAATATTTATTAAATAAGTATTACAAATTTAACTGTTAAAATTGCCGAAAAAAAATTTTATACTCCGCAAACTTTATACACACCTCAGTCATATTATTTACATCATCTGCTAAACCTTTTTGTTCAAGGGCTCTATCCTCCATCGAAATAATAATACCAAATTGTAATTCATTACATGTTGTTTCTAATTCTTCCATTAGTGAAAGGCACTTTGCTTTTATATCTTTGGCATAAAAAAATTTTGAAAGACCTTTAAGTTGCGAAACATTGTTAACAAATTCTTTAATATTTTTTAAAATTCTGTGAAGTTTTATAAATGTTTTTATATAATCTTGACTATGAAATTTATCTTCTTCTTCGTCTTTTCTACGATTTAATTTTCTAACAGCTGTAGCAACATTATCCACACGATCCACTAGGACACGACATGTTTTTTTATTATATTCTGCTGCATCATAAATACCATAAATTTCGTCAATTACTTTATTTACTGCATCGAACCAAGGAAGAAAGGCTGCGAACGCACTAACAGCACTTAATGCTTGGTTCAATGTTGTTCCTGTCCCACCAATCCCACTACTGTCATTTGACATACTATGTTAAAAATTTAAGAATTTTAACCCCTCAAAAAATTAAACTATAAATAAATAAATATTTTTTTTTAAGTTTTGAAAACGATACTGATGAACCCGGTAATTAAATGCACAAGTTTTGGTTTGTCCCGATATGCATTGCCTACGTAATTTGTCACATGGCATTTCCATATATTCCTATCTATCTGCGCCATACATTAAAATAAAAATTAATTAGTATGTGATTTGCAGATATATAAATATTTGTATAACATTTTTTTTTTATGCTTCAATTCTAAATTAAGCCCTTGTCCTCAACGTGCATACGAACATAAATACCGTCTATTGTTTTTTTTCTGAAGAAAATGTCTTCAAATAGGATAGTCACGATTGGTATTGGGTAAGTTTACTTTTTTATTCTTTTCGTGAAGAGTGGATTATTTGATTATTGGATTATCCAATAATACGTATCTTAATTATTTATCATAGTGGTGCTTCATGTTCTGGTAAAACGGTATGTACTAAGAAATACATCCAAATCCGAAGAGAGGGTTAAAGCGGCGGTTTACGTGATTTGGTTATATATATTTTTTTAAAAAAATCTAAATCTGAAGAAAAGATATAATTGTGTAATTTCGTTATATTTTTAAAAAAGACTTTGGCAAAATGGCTTCTAAAAATTTTACCGAATTGTACTTTATTTTATCAAGATGATTTCTTTAAGGTATTTTTCTTTTAAAGCATTTAGAATTCTGTTTCATTAATTTAATTGATTATATAATTTGCTTGTTTTAATTTGTTTGGTTTTGTGAACAGCTCGAAAAAGACCTTCCAATTGATCCAACAACCAAATATATAAATTGGGATTGTCCTGAAGCAATAAACTTTCCGTTATTCCTATCTACCCTAGAGAAGCTTCATCAAACCGGCTCTCTGCCAGCAACATTCGTATCTAATGAAGTAAAAAACGTTCATAAAGACATTAAGGGGAGTGGATTAGATGAGCTGGTTAAACAATTGTCCTTGCGAGTTAACGAGGCATTAAACGCATCAGCAGGTGATGATAAAAATAATGGATGGCATTTCGTATTGGTAGATGGATTTTTACTATATTATGACCCTGAGGTTATAAAAGAATTAGATGTCAGATTATTTGTTAAGGCAGATCGTGATACTTTAAAGAAACGAAGGGAAGAACGGGCTGGATATATTACAGTTGAGGGTATTCTTTTATCTTCTTTATGTTCTTATTATGATTTTTTTTTTGATTGTAATCTTGCATTACTATTTTAAATCTATTTCTTTTCAAACAAGGATACGCTATAGATCCTCCCGATTATTTTGATAAAATAGTTTGGCCGAATTACGTTGAATTGCACAAAGATTTATTAATTAAAGGCCAGTCATCCGGTTTAATAGATGGTGTGAAAAGTGGATGTAAGGTTATTGAAGATTTTGTAGTTTTAGATACAAATTTTGAAGAAAAATTTGGTGAGAATCTTGAAGAAGCTGTTGAAACTGTGATAAGATTTATTGAAAGAAGGTTTGCATCACACAAATGCAGTTGCTGTGAGTTATAATATGATGATATTATAGTCACAGAGCTAATTATTATATAAATTAATACGTTAATGTTTTCGATTTTTTTCTTTTTTGAAAATTATTAATCAATTTAAACGTGATGCATTCGATCTTCTAATTAGATTATAACAAAAAGCATTTTTAAAAAACAATAGCCAAGTTAAAGATAAGTTAGGATAAATCGGTAATTAAAATACTTTCTAACTCAAAATTTAGCAAGAAACTTTTGTTGTCAGGACGGAACGGGCAGTTTCGTAGACAAAATTCTTGGTAAGCGATTTTAAAAAAATTCATAATCGCTTCTATTTTGAAGTTTCTGCATTCTGATTAGTTTGTCAGGGGTAGCACTGGTGAATAATTATAAATACCTTTTTTTTTTTGTTTATTGTAATAATAATCATAATAATAATAACAATAATAATAATAATAATAATAATAATAATAATACTAATAATAATAATAATAATAATAATAATAATAATAATAATCATCATCAAAAGTACAATAGATAAAGAAATTTGTGTGTTCAAGACATTTATTATTCTTTTATTATGATTGTAAAGATACAATATTTTATGTTTATTTTTTTCTTAAAGTATACAACTTTTTGGTTAATTGCTGCAAACATTCCTGTATATTTCTTATGATACGAATGTCCAACTTTTTTCATATTTGTATGGTATAAAATTCAATCGAACTTTCTATCGTCAGATACATCTATGGCCAATTCTCAGCCAATCAAACGTATACCTAGCTTAATGTAGTAGATTAGCAAAAAAAATTGAGATTCATGTAACCAGAGCTTTAATTACCAAATTTTACTAATAAACCCGCTAACCGATAAGTAAAGTTGCTCGGTCGTAATTTGCTATGATATTTAATGATTTTTACGGGTTTTCACTCTCATGCACTCATATGTTACTTATTGATCAAATTAATAGACGTACCTAAATTTTATTTATATAATTTTTTTATTTTTTAATTTTCTTCGAAGTTTAATATAAAAGTTAAGTTAAAATCTTCAGATACTTATTCTTGAGTATCGGAAGATTCTTTGTACGAAATTTAACTAATAGTTAATAGTAAAGTTAAAAATAATCTTGACCCTAAAGTTGAACGTTTATTTACAATGTTTCTTAGTCAAAAGACTGACACGCCGTCAATAATTCTAATAATATATGTTCCTTAAATTAAAAGACAGACTCATTGACAATATTTTATAGTGGGTCAGTTTTTTGACTTAAGGAACATAGTAAAGGAACGTGAACTTTAGAATCAAGATTGTTTCAACTTTATTATTAACTATAAAATTTAAGTACGTCTGCAATTGTAAACGACTAGTATTAGTGCTGGTCCGAGGTCTGAATCCGAATCATCCGATCGATGTCCAGAAGCTCGGATTACACGAATCTATTCAGTGTGGCTTCCGATTATAGATTATGACCTTATCGTTATGACTTATAAAATTTACTATTTAAATTATGACCACCTTGGTCATATAAAGCTGGATATGGCACAAAATGGCAACACTGAATCTGCTAGTTTGATGTTCCAATAGCCTGTGCTATCGCTATAGCATCGCACGAAACATATTTATGGGTCTTTGTCTTGAAAATCATTTCCGATCGAACAAAAATAAGTCATGTTTATATTACCTTTATTGAATCAATAAAGTCAAAGGATTTACATATAATCGTGAACTGGTATTGGGATCATAGGACGACAATCATATATCGATATTGGTTAAGTTTTGTAAATCTACCCGTGAGTTCGTGTGATAATTAACCAATCAAAAGGTATATTTTTTAAAAAAGGTTACCATTTTAATACTAATAGAAAATGAAAAGAACTTAACATAAATACAGAAATAAGCTTGCAAACTAATAAATGCATATAAAAAAGAATGTTATATTTTAAAAATTGATAGATAATATGTAAAATGTATTTAGCGTTAGAGTGTAATAAAAATTGAATCATGATGAAATAAAAAATAAGGTCTATAAAAACTATTAATTTAAGAGTAAAGGGTACATAGATCATTTTTTATATAGTTTTTTATGTAATTTTAAAATTTTCATCTAAAATTGATATAAGTTACTAATAAATTTTTTTATTTTTAATTAATCAATAAAAAAAAATTTATAATACGTATTATAAATAAAATTATTTATTTATTATAATAAAATTTTAACCTATTGTATTAATTTTAAAAAAATATATTGTACTTGTTTATATAATAAAGTTTACTTAGGTTGGTTAAAATTTGTTTAGATAGTACAAAATTAACGAATTTGATTGGTCAATTTACATAAACTATAAGTTAATTTTGTTATATAATTTTATATTTTAATGATTAAAAATTTATATGTTAATTAAAAATAGAGGCATGGCCTCACTATTAATATTAAAAAAAAAATTATATATTAATGAGTTTTTAATTATTTTGCTATCATTAAAATTAGAAAGATCTACTTTACAACTTTTACTTAATAATTCGAATTATTTTAGTTAATATAATTTTATATAAAATGTGAAAGATCAAAATAATAACAATAAGACCCAATGTATAAAGCAGATTATGATACCTTATACAGTTTTAAAAGCTAAACATACAGTAATTGACCCTGTAGAAGACAACTTTGAAAAATCATTTTTAATATCTTTAGTTCTCTATAATTTTCACACATACTTTAATAAATTTTTTCTTTAATACAATTTATTATTTTTTCTTTATGGTCAAACTATTCAAACTTTAATCCAACATATTGACAAATATAATAATACCAAAATTGTATCTAGTATTACATTTTCTGTTAACACATTTTATTATAAAATTCATATTTATCTTTCTAATAACTCTTTTTTATCTGATTATATTATTATTTTCTCTTATTTTCTTTCTTTATTTTATAATTTCCTTCTTAAATCTAATTCTTTTAACTTTACTTTTATTTTATCTGATTCTTTTTTTAACAACTATTATTCAACTTCTATTAATTATAATTCTTCTTTATACTCTTCTGACTCATGTTCTTATTATCTTAATCTAACTATTGTTATATACAATATTAGAGGTTTTAATAAACTAACAAAAAAAAAAAGCCTGACAAGATTATTGTCTTAATAATAACATATTTATTGCCAGTATTACTGAAACAAAAATTCTGATAAAACTAACTTTTTCTTCTATAACAACAATTTTTTTACCTATTACTGGTCTAATTCTTCTATTTTTATAAAAAGAACAGTCATCATAATTTATAATTATTTTAAAGCTTACATTCACAGTGTTCATATTCATCTAGAAAGGATTATTAAACTTGATATTTTCTTTTGAAATAATATTAAACTCTATATTATCTCAATATATCTTTTATCTACTGATATAGTTATTCATAACCAAACTCAAAACATAGTAATTAATTGGATTTAACAAATTTCTCAACTTTATCTTTATTCTATTATCTTTAGTAATTTTAATACACAAAATCATTTTTACAGTTTTTCTTTCAAATATAAATTTATTAACTTTTTTAATCATTTTAATATATATAATATTGAAATCTATTTTAATAATAAACTCTTTATTTGGTTTAATAATACTAATAGTAATTGTATTGATTATATCTGGACTAACCAATTTAATATATAATTTCTTCTTTTCTATAGTCTTGACAATAGTCAAACCTTTACTTCAAGTAACTACTTGATTCTTATTTCTATTTGAATATTTTTATATGACTATAGTAAACTTTTACAAAAATATACAAAAATTAGTTATCATATATTCAATTATAAATTAATGACTATAGAAGACTAAAACTTCTTTATTGATACTTTAACTCAACAATTCTTACTATACAAAACTCTTATTAACAGTATTACTGATGAAAATATTAAAACTAGTTGACATAAAATTTAATGTTCTATAATATATACTGCTATTCATATAATTCCTAACAAAATCTCTTACAAATAAAGTTACAATCATCAATATTCATCACATAGTACTCTATTATATCTTTTTTTAAAAAAATTCAAACATATTATTAAATTAGTTAAAAAATTTAGTTAATCTTTTAACATTTCAAATATTAACTAAAACATCTTTTAAATTAATAAATAGTTATAATGTAACCTTTAATTACTTACCTATATTAATCTTTTCTGTATTCAATTATGGTTTCAACATGCCCTTTTTATTTGAAACCAACTTTATTATACTTATTATTTTGAAAACTCTCTCTTATTTTAACAACAAATTAATCAAGCTACTGACAAAAGATATTTATTTTTATAATACATTTTATCCAGACTATTAATAGTATCCTTAATTACTATTATTAACTGTTAATCTTTCAAATATAAAATTACCAAATCAACTTATTACTAATTTAACACTTATTAAATAACATGTCCAATCTCATTTTTATGATTGGACTGCACTTAGACTTATTAATAAAATCTTTTTTAATAACTTCTGGAAACAACAATACCTTTCATTTCTTTATATTAACCTAACTTGGTATTACTCTCTTAACTTACCCATTACTAATAAAAAATTTTTCCAAACTCTTTTACAACTATTTAATAACAAAGCCTATGGTTTTACAGATATTAGTTATAAAATACTTATAAATATTAGTCTTTAATGTATTTCTGCTATTACCTTTTTATTTAATCATTAACTTCTTAAAAACAGAATTTTTAAACAATAGAAACATAACAGAATTTATCCTATTTCTAAATGAAACACCTTTGATGATAACTTTAATTTTATATAACTTATTAGTCTAATCGAACATATTCACAAACTTTATATAAAAATTCTTACAAATTAACTTAGCTCTGTATTTTCCTTAAACTCTATTCTCTTACCTTTTAACTATATTGTACTTCCCAATAATTGTGCTTCAATTTCTATTCATATTCTCAATAATCTTATTGAAGATGCTATCTATAATTATAAGAACATTTGATTACTCTCATAAAATATGAACAAAACATATAATTCTGTAAACTTTGCTTTTTCTAAATATTTACTTTTTTTTTTTTTTTTTTTTTTTTGGTATTAAGGTGAGGCCTTGCTCATATCTTTATTGGTAGTTTAAAAATTAGTAG